TCTTTCTAATTATTAGGAATTAACATTAAGGATGGAAAGAATGACAGATGATGCAACTAAGAAGAAAAGGGAACTGGAGCATGAATTAACTCTTACCATGACAGCCCAGGTCAGTAACATGCCGAAATGATTTTCCATGTGTAGTCATAAACAGTTTAAAGATATGTAGAATATGTAACAATCCCACTTTAAGTTTTTACCCAGGCAGACAAAAATCAATCTTGTGTCACATCTGAGATCATACATGTATATTTTGTTAAGTGGTGTACAACATGTAACTGTTTTGCTTAAAATGTTGTTTCAACCACCAGTTATAAATGCATGATATCAGAAAAATAACATTTAGGGAGTTTCAAAATTCTGTTCATTGTTGTTAACCTGAGCAATTTCTTAAATGTTAAGATTGAATTAGACAAGACAGCAGAAGAGTTCCGCAAGGCACACAGTGAGAGACAAGAATTGCTGCGTCAGTGGGAGAACACTATTGAACAGATGCAGAAAAGAGACAGAGAGATGGATCAACTGGCTGTGGTGAGTATTTTTCCAACTTCATGTGATCATCGAGGAAGTTGTGTTAACTACATAATGTAACCTTTGTCCATAACATTTACTTGAAACTTTTTATGAATTCTACAGTGTACACAAATTTACAAGTCATTTAACAAATGTTCTACTAATTAAGGAAATTCAGGTCAAACATGATGATACAATGTACTGTATATCTTCTTTTAGCTTTTAAGTGTAGTTTAAAATATTCAATGAAACTTTTTTCATGTAAGGAGTAGGGCTTAGATGCTCTTTTTGATAACTGTTTTTTTTGTTCAGAAACTTGCTGAAGTTAAACTAGAAGTCAGAGACAGAGAAGAGCAGGTCCAAGAAAAACAGGTTAAAACATCCTTTGAACTAACAATAATTCCAGGTTTATTTTACAAAGTCATTAACAGGACATGGACATACACCACAAAAACTTTGAACGGTTGATGTTATTTGGCCTAAAGATTTTAAAGTTATTGAGCAGACCTAGTAATTTCTATGTTTTTTAACTTATCCATCATGTCTTATTAGTTTTCAATCTCCAAATTACCTGGGAGTGACAGATTTTATGAAGTAAAATCTTTCTCCTCCTGGTTTCTGATTATAACAGAAATTTCTGGAGAGTGAGCTTGCTAACAACCAAGAAAAAGAGAAGAAAGTTGGAGTGGCTGAAAGACAGGCGGCCAAATTGCGTCTGGAGTACCAGGATGCTGAACAAATTAGGATACAGTTTCAAGATGAGGTAAATCTTCAGTTGTTTACCTCTGCATGTTTATTGAGTATAAATTGTTAAATAGAGAAGGCATTTTTTTGTAAATTTAATTTTAAAAGGAGTGGCCTTCTAAAATGTTGAAAATTGTTTGTTTCTTATAATTGTAACTCAGCTTTGAACTGTGAAGTTCAACTTATTTAGGTGCTGAAGCTGAGATGCATGTAAAGCTTATTTAGTAAGAGGCATTCAGTTCTCCCGGTGTTAATTAAGTTTCTAAACCTAATACTAAAGCTAGGCTAGAATTTGCTTTTGGTTATTCAAGTGTTCTTTAGTTAACAATTCTTCTTGTGTTTCTTTGCATTTGTCAGCTTGACACGCTGAAATACACTGTGGACAGGACAGCAAGAGATCTTGAAAGTGCCAGGCATAAACATAATCTGCTCAAGAAAGAAGTTACCAACAGAACAGAAAGGTATATATATTGTACATACCCATCACTATGACCTAAGTGATGCCAACAGTTACCAGTTGTTGAACCCAGGAACCTATTACAAAAAAATAACTTGATATGACTGTTCTTTGTGAATTGATGAACATGTATGTTTTATTAGTAGTGTCTCCACAGTATATGCATTGTGCTACTTTCTCACAGTGATTGCAAATTTAAGCTGACTGAGTCATGTGAACCATTTAGGCTTGATAGAGTGCAAAAGGAGCGAGATGATCTGCGGCATCAGCTGAAAATTGTTACCGATGAGACTCTCACTGCAGAAGAAAAAGCTCAAAGAATGGACATGCTGTTAAAGGAAGAAGAAACTCGTATTTATGATGTGGAAAAACAGCTTGCCAGACTTCGTGAAACTCAGGTAACATTTTAAAGATGAAGGTGGTTCTTCTATAGTCGGCATAGTAAAATAACAATTCATGGTGGGTTTTTTTGACTACTATGCACTTTTCTAAATGCCAGCATAGCTATATTTATGGTTAGTAACTTGCAATTTTTTTGGTTTTCTGTTAGTCAAATTAAATTGTCATTCTAGCAACCAGCAGCATGATTTTCTTTTTAATTACCAGTAATTATTATTGATGAGCCATTTTTGGAATTCAAAGCTAAGAATTTATATATTTATTATGTTCACAGACCGGCGACCTGTTTATAGTAACTTGTTTCTCCTCACTCCTTTTTACCAAGAAATCATGTGGAGACTCTCCTATTCTTCTTTGGGGGAGGTGGGGACAGAATGGACAATTGTACACCAAGACTAACATAAGACTGTGAAATGTAATAAAAATAAACGATGAGAAGTAATTGCCATGAAATGTTTCCTTTTTTAGTTCAGAAAAACAGAGGAACTGCATGAATGTAAAGTTTTGGAAAACAATACTGCAGCTGAAATTCAGGTAATTAGGGTTTGCTGTTATCCCAATTCTCTTGACTGGGACAATGGGAGGATGTATATGTCTTAACAATTTCAATCTTCAATTGTTTTTTTATGTGATTTTCTTATTTTGTCCAGGGTGCAAGAGCTGCCAGTAGGAACTTGAGCAGTAAACTACACAAACTTGATCAGGAATCACTCAAACAACAGGAAATTATTTATATGCAGGTTAGGATTACTGTGAGAGCTGATTGTTGTCAACCTTTCATTCTGAGTCATATCTATGTGAAGACTAGGATCTCCTTCTAAATATCACACCCAGAGGAAGATTCAATTTAGACTTCATAGTCCATGTATGGGATTTTTGAGCATTGTCTTACATTATATTGTTTTAACTGAAGTACTGTAATTGCTTTGTTTGTGGTTTTGTAGGATTTTCAACTGCAACAGTTGGAGCGAAGAATAAGCCGCATGCAGGGAGAGCGAAGTAATGAAGAGAAACTGCAACTTGAGGCCAGAATAAAGGTATAAAGTTTACAAGTGTTGATTGTACTTTTATGGGCATTGTGTTCAGAGGTGAAAATTTCACGTTATGGCACTTTGACTATGACACTTGACTTAGTGGAGATGAAGACAGTTCTTATTGATTGTCCTTTTATCTTAACTTTTTCCAGGATCTAATGTCTCAGATGGAGGAACACAACTCCACTCACGCACTTCTCAATGCTCAAATGAAGAACTTGAACGTAAGTTTGATGAATGGCTCAACCTGTCGCTTAAAAAAAATTGTGTAGAGATGTAAAGGTAACTCTGAAAAGCCATAGTTATTATTTTGTTTTTTCGAACTTTCATTTTCCATAGGATGATCTAAGACGTGCAAACCGAGACTTAAACAAAGGAAAAGAAGAAATGAAGACTCTCACCAGCAAAATCGGTGAGTGATTTATCATCATGATGATTCCATGATACAAAACTTTCGTCTAAACATTGGTTTTCAAAGTGAACGAACGAAAGATGTCTCAAACTCCTCCTTCTTTTGCAGAGGAACTGAATCTACATAATGACAGCTCAGAGAGAGAGAGGAAGAAAGTTGTTACATTAAAACAGGTTTGCACTACAGCCTTCCTTTTGTTTCTCCGTTTATTACGCACAAGGAAATGTTCTTTACATAAAATACGTCGGTATGTACCCCACAGATGAAAAGCGCTTTTTGTGTGCACTGATTGGCCAGCCCGCTAGTGATTAGCCAGAACTATTCACTTCCTTGCAAGCCAAAGAGACAAAACCGCGTGATAAGTGTTTGTTCTGCGTCCAAATTTTTTAGGTTGAATTTGACTGCTCTAGAGACCTATGAATTGATAGATTGACTGATTCAATCATTTTTCAATAACGTTTTATTTTGTCTCTATTTTTCGTAGGATCTTATGGTGGATGAGAATATTCTGAAGCTGGAAATCAAACGCCTCAGAGAAACTCTAAGCAACAAAGCAGACAATGTGCTTAACCTCGAAAAGAGGAAACTGCAGTTGGAAACGGTTCGTGTTTCACGTTGCATTTTTTCCAAATCTGTCATAATGCTGTCAGAGAAAGTACGACGTAATAATTCGTTCTGTATCCTGTACAATGTTTGCTGTAAGGTGACCAAGCTTAAGGTGATTCCTTTTTTTCAAAATGAACCATACTAAAGCTGCAATACTTTGTCTTACTGCTACTGCAGGCGATGAAACAGCGGCGCCATGAAATAAACATTCATAAAGACATGCTCCAAGCACAGATTAAATCTTCAGAGGAAGAGAGACAGACAGTCAGGTATTGAAGCATTTCAATTGAAATACGCGACGGATGTCGTTTCTTCTTTTGATAGATTAAATAACTGGTTCTTTTACATTTTCTTGCAGCTCCGAGTTACATGAACGGATATCTAAGATTGACAAATTGCGGAAAAGGTACAGTGGCTTATCATTTAAATGATTAACTCAGTGAGTATGTTAGTGAATGAATAAGCAAACGAACCCTGTAGGTTTCTTGAAGTCTCCTTACAACTTATTTTATTTTTGTGAACTTTATGGTGGTGAATAAACTTGAACTTAAATGAGCCAACGATTGAATGAATTGGATTGCAAACGTAACAGGGAATTTTGTGTGCATTACTTTTTAAATAGTGTATTTCCTATTTGTTGGCGCCAGGTATGAAATCCTGATGATCTCAATGGCGCCTCCCGAGGGGGAGGAGGAAAGGTCTCAAGCCTATTACGTTATCAAGGCAGCTCAGGAGAAGGAGGAGCTGCAGCGTGAGGGAGATGAACTGGATGCTAAGATCAGAAAGGCTGAGAAAGAGATACGGTAAGGGTTAAGCGAAATAAGACAGGCAATAAATATCTAGCAGTGAAGATAATATCGATATATTTGACATTATAGGTTCTTGGCAGACTAAAAATGCTTTTTTTTTTTCGCTATTTATAGAGCTTTGGAAAACACATTGCGGCTGATGAACGGCCGGAACGAGACTTACCGGAAAAGTTTTAACAAAGTGGACGAGATGAGTGAAGAGTATGACGAGAAACAGCGTTTGGAGGATCAGATGCGAGCTGTGATGGATAAATATAAATACAAACGACGGCAAATCCGTGAGTTACAGGAAGACCTGGGCTCTATGGAGGGCACCTTGGAAAACTTGACCGCGGACGAGCAAGGCTTGGTTGAGGTCATCACTGAGAAGCAGGCCAAGGCGACAAATTTACAGAAGGAATTGGATGATCAGAAGACAAAGAAAGACCGAGCTTCCCGGGAGGCTAGCAAGATTGCGCGCTCCGTAAGGAGTGCCAAGAAAAGTTCAGGGGAACTTCACGAGGAAAAGGATATGGATTTGAGAGAGTTGAGGGACTTTAATACGCGCACCATGAAACAAATGGGCGAGGTGTTACACAGTCATCCGGATCTAGGACCCAGTGTCCAGATCTATTTCAGCCAGGCAGGGTTACCAATGCCTCCTTCCCCAGGTCCTGGTATGTCGCGGCCAACATCTTCTCGTAGCTCGCGGAGTTCTGGGACGTTGTCTTCTGCTCGGTGAGTAAGGCAGGGTTTGTGCGCTTGTAAATGGATCTTCGATACAAAATTGGAGAATAGCAGAATGAAAAAAATGATCACCACTTGGTAAAAAAGTAATTGATCACACTGCGATTTCCCGAGCAGTTTTCAAATAAATATCTAAAGTAATCCTGAATTGCAGTAGCTTTCTTTCCTTTTCATTGCCCTGTCAACTACTCTTGACTTTGCTTTTGTTGGTGCTTCAAAAAATCTGCTAGCCTTCACTTTTAGAACTTTTGTGTTCTATGTGATAGTTTTATTCGCTATGAATGGCCGTTGCTCTAAAATCATTTTCCTCCTCATTTCTCCTTGTTGTTCAGTTTAAGCGAAAACATACATTGTGCTGTTGGGAAATAGCTTTTGTCACATAATATTTCTGCAGGGACCTCGGATCCTATATTCGACTTACACTTCTTATTCTCGATGTTTTAAAGTGAATGAACTTTTCTCGAGTAGAGAAGCAACTTGTTAATTTTGAATTGAATTGTATGTTCCCTTGTACAGATCTGATATCTCAACTAGCAGCCGCCGAGGTGTTGGTACTGTTGATGTTGGAGCTCTGGCTCTTGCGGGTGCTGCAAGCCCCACTGGCGCGGGGAGTCCGAAGCCAGGTAAGAGCATGAGCCGTGGGACAAGTTGCTTGAGTACAGCTTGAGTACAGCTTACGTACAAAATGAAACATTTAAGAAATTAGGTAGCTCCAAGCTTAAACTCTTTTCAATTTGCCGTTAGGTGGCCTCAGATCATGATATGATCGCCAGAAATATCAAATAGGTGTCTTTGAATTTGCGACTATGATTGCAAACTTAGTCGCCATGTCGACCTGAAGGGTCGCAGCTTGGGGCACTGTTTGTCCAGAAGGACAAACCCACGAATTATCTCTTGTAAAATTAAAACAGATAAGGCTTCTCTATTGTTTGTTTGTTTGTTTTTTTCTTTTTTTTTTCATTTTCCACTTATTAAAAAATTCAAACCATTTCATTGTTGCTTGCTATTTTATTATGAGAGAACATAACTCAATTTTTTAGTTTATTGAGCTGATTCATTTACATCAAAGGACTGTATCGAGAAAGAGATGAGAGGTTCACTTCTGCTACTATTATTCCAACTCCAGTCATTACAATAACTGTTTAAATGTTTCCTCGCTCGTTTCCAGGTGTCTCTCCTACAAGCAGTACGCGAGGAAAGAAAACGAGCTCAAGGCCTGGCTCAGCGGCTGGTTCCAAGGCCTCCTCCCGTGTGAGCAGCGCGGCCAGTCGTCGTAGCACGGATCGTCGTTAAATTATTTATTTTTCGTTCAAAATTCTTTGTTCATACTTTTCATCATCATTACTGAGGTCACCTTTAAAATGTTTTGTAAATACGCATGTAAATAGTGAGCAACTCTAGAGAGTAAAGGTACAGTTTGTAATAAAGAGTGAATTTCTCTGGCTCATGATTCCTCGGTTTATGTCCACTCTTCTTCCGTCCAGACCGTTTCTTTGTCAAAATTTATTGCAGGCTGCTTGACGCATTGCCTATCCTATCTTTGACATTGGATTTATATGTTAGCTGGTTTGGACGAGGTAGAGTTGGAGGCTCGCTCTTTACCAATCTCTAACGATAAGTCCGTCCGGTATTTCCACGCATTGCTTCAAAAGTAGCTCGGCGGCTCATGGTTTCAAGAGTGGCCTCAACCCAGACTATTTCTGAACTAATTGCGCTTCTACAATCACAGGAGTTTGTTTTCGTCGATGAACAAATATTCCACCTGGCGTAAGTCCAAGAAACAGTTGTTGATGAGTGGTAATAACCTGAGTTTGAATTACTCTGCCAACTGTTGAAATGTCTCCTGGCTTCTAAGTAATCAGCTGTAGGTGTTACATCCATAGATCTCCACTCGTAGCGCGATCTTTCCAGCCCAGAACAAGGGTGAGATACGAAGGTACAGTGCTCTTATAGGGGAATGAAGCTGGTTAGTCACGACGCTATTTCTATCTTGGTTACCATTAAAAACCTGAGAAAGAAAATAGGTTATTTACAAGTACATCCATCTGCAACATTACAACTGAATATTTCACCTCGAATTATAAATTTTCCACGGTGAACTTGTTGATCCTATCCAGGGGGATTAGCAATACTCTTCGTCGCTTCAAAGAACAGAAAATGGGATAACCTCTAACAGTAGCGCAAGTTAGTGTAATATTTAGTTGCGAGGAAAGGAATTTCTGCATCACCTTTCGTGACCCAGGGGAGTTCTCATTTTCGTAGTAGAACCACGTGACACCGTCCAAGCTGTACTGAAGATTATAAAGCACAACCCACCAATCATGGCCAGGGCTACCCTCGGTGGCCACGCTTGTGATGAGTCTGGGGTGAGGCTGGAAACTAATCTGCAGAAATTTGTCCTTTTCGACACCATCGCTGACCCAAGACGAACCAGCTGCATGCAGGCGAGCGTCGCTGGGTCTGAATGGATGTAAGCTGGAGGAGGCGTTGAAATTCTGATCAGGCAGTTTATTATCACCGAGACCCAATGCGGTAGGACTGCAAACTAATGATGAGGATACCTGTTATTTTTGTCTAAGACTCATATGTACGGAATTTCACAGCAATCCTGGACCCATCGAAAAAAAGCTTATCGACGGAACGATCTTGTTTTCAATGTTGTGAAAATTTATTTCAATGGCAAAGGCTGAACGAAAGTTTCCTTACAAACCAAGAAATTTCTTCTGATTGACGGGAGAGCAAGCTCTTTGCTTTTTTTAATCTATAATGGTAAATTACTGTTAGCAACCTACGTATCCCTCACATGAGTAGATGGATTCGGTCGATTACGGATCAAAGACCTTATAAGTAAATTAAGCTCGTTCCTTACTTTCGCATTTTTCCCCTCTGTACTCATCTTGACAAAAACACTCAAACCCAGGATGGCGCTGAATTTTCTGGCAAGTTCCATTGTTTCTGCATGGAAGTGTTTTGCAGTGCTCCACGGGTTCTGTTAGTTTGTCCATGTAAACCACCCCAGACCTGCGCACAAAGTACTCTGAATCGGCCGAGCGCGAAGAGTTACTGAGCTCGCAAGTTTTGTCGCGAATGACGTAGTTAAAGCTGTAACAGTGCGGGTCAGCGTCACATGTTGCGACGCAAGATTCAAAGCGTATCCCGGATGTTGCCTTGTAGGTGTATCCCGTAAGGGCGTGGTCGGAAAATGAAGCGACTGATCGGCACTTAAGGGAAGCTGACGTTCCCATAATACATAGCGAGACATGGATTGCTGTGTGTAATATGGATAGTATTGTTATCTGCATAGCTACAAATATAAAACGAAAAGATGACTTAGAGTTTGACAGTGTTGTATTCTTTCAGCTTAAGCAAAATGGACTCAATAACCTGTCGCGTAGATTCGACCGATGGTTCTAAGGGTTTCGATCCTAAAGCCAATAAAACCCTCTTGTTTGTTGGCGTAGTTTTAAGTGCACGCACCTAAAGCTGTATAAATAAACCAGTGGGGTGTTTAATTACAAACGAAAGTTTTCGTTAATTCTATCGTGTTAGCTCTTCTGTGTTATGGACTTCAATTAATGTGCAGATATTAGCGACCACGTATATCTATCTTCCCCTCCTCCTCTAAACCTTGAGTTCCCGTTGTTACCGGTTGAATATTCTGAAATTAAATGGCTTCAACTTTTTCGAGTGTCCTGGTAGGTGCAAGTAGCCGTGAATAAATACAGGTTTAAACAGATAATGGCAACTCTCTTCATTCTCAATGGTAACGTAGTGCGTTTGACAGGTTCGTCCATGCAATGCAATGAGATAATTTTAGATATTCATATTAACTGACTCCGTTAAGTTAAGTTATGTGTGATGTATATATTGAGCTCTCGGTCTTATCGAATCCCTTACCCTTAGTAAAAGAAAGAATATATTAAACTTTCTAACTCAAAATTTTGCACCTGCAAGAGAACCTTATTGCAGAAGACAAGTTCTACCTTGAACACAATGATTACATAAATTTTACGCCGGTGAATAGATCATGGACAATTTCTGTCAACCTCTTTTAGGGACAATAATTCTTCCAGCGCCCAGTTGTGACATGAGTCTTTGTAACTCTGTCAGCTGCTGTAGGTATGAAGGAGAAAACACTTGGTTTTTCGCGCTACCATTTGGTAAGCGTAAGCGAATAAAACTTTTCAAACATTCGGCCTTCTCTAGTATGCGATGCAATTGCAACATTTACCTCATCCGTTAACCAAGAACATGTCATCTTGCTCAATAAATAACAGTTTTTATATAAGTCCAGCGCCTCTGTTCCAAGGTAGTGAAGATTGTTCTTTGCGGACAGAAAATTGTCGATGTGGTCATTTTGGACAGATATCAGCCCACTAAACATATTTTTTAAAAGACAAATATTAATTCTTGTGGTTTAAATTTCATATCTTACCTTCCCTTAGTGACAGCTTATTTTCTTTACTCTCCGATTCAGACAAAACGTCTTTTACACTCATAAAAATGGCAAAATCTTTCTAGCGCCGAGCCGTTCTATAATGCGAGCGTGAAGTTTGTTCAGGTGTGCAGTTCTCTCGTAATTCACACGAATTGACAATTTGGAGAGCCAGAAGTGTGAAATTTATCAAACAAGCTCGATATCTTTGGACCATCGCATACTAGAGAAGGCCGAATGTTTGAATAGTACACATTATGTGAGATCACATTTTATCACATTTCTTTTGTTGTCAGATAGAGATCTAAAAGCTTCTTTGTGCAACTGAGTCTCATTCAGTTTTCTAGTATGACAAAACTGAATCAGATATCCTTTACTTTCAAAAGTTGGCTGAATTTTTTTTCTGGTGTTAATGATTTCTTTTTACGTTAAAGCCAACGATTCTCAAATTTCAAACATTGAATAGTCTATTTTAAGCAAACATGTATTATCATGGACAATATCTTTTGTCGTGTTGTTTTAGCTCATTTGAAAAGCGGATACAATCAGATTTCCTTTATCTGACAGGGAACTAAGGCGAGTTTTCAAGATTGAATCGTTTCGCACATTTCATATCCGACAAGCACGAGTAGAATAATTGAAACGCCCCAATATATTGATAGATCTTCCCAACTTTAATTTGTAAGAACAAACGGAATGTTACAATGTACAAAAACAGTTCTGGTTTAACTCGTCTTCATGCACGCCTATGGTATAATGGCTCATAACTCATGATGGCTAAGCCAATAAAAACAAAACTCTTGAATGGCAAGATCCAATGATCCAGTTTTTATAAATAATAATTTGGTTTATAAACTGAGTTGATAATTTAAATTGGCCACCGTATAGTTTCTAAAGCTGAAGTTTCGAGCGTCATTCATTATTACGAATGTTCAACGCTGGAAACGTCAGGCGCAGAGGCTCCCTACAGCGGGCAATTTACTTTTAAATTTGTGTCTGAACTGCCACTGCAGTTTGTTTTTGTTTCCTTTCAGAGGCAAACCGCTTGAGGATTGTTCCCAGGATTCTTTTCAGGCACAGCGTGGCTACAAAGTTACGAGGCTCGACTGCTAAGCTTGAGAGTCCACGATTGTAGCTTCCCGGCGGACCGGTTTAAGAATATTGCGTGAAAATATGGGTTTAGACGAAGAAAAAGCGCTTCTTGGAAGCACAGTCGTCTTAGAAAAGGTAAAAAAAGTTTCCAAATATTCTCCTTTTATTAAAAATGATAAATATCTCACAAAACGCGGTATACAGCGCTTGTTTAAACGTGGTTACCCTACTACGACAGTCGCTTGAAGAGGAGTGATCAAAGATTGGTCATGGACAGATAGTTACAACTTGCTTGACTTACCTCACGTAGTCAGAAAATGGTATGAGGCAATGCTGTAAACTCATGATGAACTTATGCTCTTAATAGGTAAAATCGAGACGCTTTCGTGAAATTGCGAATCCGTTAACTCGTCTCGCTTGAAAAATTTATCTTTGAGAACAATATTTCTCACAATCAGATGTTGCCAATAAAGCGGGAATGTTAAAGGTATCGATGGTCTTTATTGCGATCTTTCGTAATTATACAGAAACGGGGTGTATCTTGCCATCAATAATTTGATGGTTGAATGTAATTTGCCTTCAGACGGGGGTATGTTCAGATTATTAATTACAACATAACTTGGATTACAGTGCATACAAGAGGTGATTATATTTTGTCGTATCTGTCGTACATAACATCATTTAAGATATTTATTGCTCAAACATGATTTGCATTAGTATTCTCTTTTAGTCAAATATGACTTAAGACACTTAGTGAGGTTTTCAGCCATCTTTAGCCCTTAGTTCAAATAGTATCAGGGAAAATCACACACAGCAGTTGTAAATCATGACATGGGTAGTTATTTTGTAGGCATCTTAGATCAAGCTGATGATAGTAAGAGTTCTCTACAATAAACCCTTCTAATGGGGGTTATAAAAATTTGATAGTACATTTAATTTCTGTTGTTGACACACTTTATGACAGGTGAATAATAATGAGAAATATTCAGACTTCAGTGGCTTGGGTTTTCAGCCAAAAGCTAACACTAAAACTGACCATCTGACAAACAACTCTGCACTTGACTCTGACAGTGGCATCTGAATCATGCTGTTGAAACATCTCTCGCTGGCACTTGCTGCAGTCCTTTTCAAGACCACTCTCATCAGTGCAACTATGGCATTATAACTTGTTTGTTATTTTTTTTCATGAAGGTTGAGGATTCTGACCCAGAAGATGAAGGCGAAGAGGCTGAAGAGCCTGCCGGTGATGGTGGAGATGATGATGATGAAGAAGAAGATGAGGAGGAACTAGAGGATCCCAGGGAAAAAATTCTCGAGGGGTGTAATGAGAGTCCAAAATGTGCCAAAGCTAAACTAGAACTGGATACCTGTAATGAGCGTGTTGGCAGTAAATCAAGTACAGAGGAAACCTGTGTACAAGAACTCTTTGATTTTATGGAGTGCGCAGATCACTGTGTAAGTGGGATGTGGAAAATTGGATATTTCTGAAAGTCTTGTTGAGGTTGCTTTCAAGTCCAGTAGCTCATTTTGTGTAATTTTATTGTGTCACCTACAGATTGCAAGCTTTAATATAAAATGAACTTGTATTTGTTCTGGTTCAAATTTTCTTATTCAAAGATTTTCACACCAACTCTTCTTAGTCCCAGATTTATTATGGAAATCTGTGATAAATAAAAAATAAATTCAACTAGTTTTAAAACTTTGGACTAAAACAGATAATTTGAACCAGAACATGTCCAGCTAGACAGTAGTGCTCAGTGATGAAGAAATTTTATTCATTTCTCTCAATTTCAACTTTTTGGGGGGGGGGCTTCCATGCAAATTTTTGTGCCTAAATTTTTAAGAATAAGTATGATTTGGTTAAGAGGGATTTCTCGATTCAACTTTCCACAACTGCCAGATTTTATTCCTTTTGAGTTGCATTAAGAAGTCTGGAATGAGAGAGAAAGCAAAGTTAAAGATCTATGAGTTTAATCCTTGTGGGTGTTTTATGTCACTTCTCTTGCTCCAGCTTTCTTAAGACAATTTGGAGGGAACATACATATAATCTGGTAACACAGGAATGTTTAAGTCAGAAGTTGTATGATGAAAATTTACCTTTTTTTTTTTAAGATCTCTATATAAATGAAACAGGCACCTAATGAGAACAAGACATGCATTTTTTAATTTAAAAGGCAATTTAATGTGTTTTTTCAAAGCAGAAACTTGTAAGTAGTTGAAATGCTGATCTGCCTTTCCTTCATTCCTCTTAAAAGTGTCAGTGAATCTATTCTTCTGGTATCCATGAATTGTTACCTCGAATAGGTGTATTGAATCCTCTAGCAGTGAAGTTCAAGCAAATAAGCTATTGTACTAGATCAAACTCAGACTAAACTTTGACCATCAGATGTAGTTACAAGCTAAATAACATTCACTTCATCGGCTTTATTGTTCTGTACTGCATTTACATTTCCTTCTTTCTCACTATGTTTCAATGTTGCATATTTACATAATTTATAATGATTTTAATATTATTTTTTACAGGTGGCACATCATTTGTTCCATAAATTGAAGTGACAACGTTATTTTTGAAAGTATTCAGAATTGTCCGGATTTTTGGTGGATATACTAATCTATTTAGGACTTGATTTGAAATGTCCTCAATTCCTTGTGATGAGGCGATGATGTTGCTTTTGTCTCTTGCTGATACACAATAATTTCATGTCAAGGATCAATCTCTGCTGCATTAACAGTTGTGCATAAGGAAAAATGTTAATAAAGCACTTTTATTTTAAAGTTGTTCATAAGTTTGTGTTTCTCCTCATCTGTGCTGAAACCCAGCCAATCCTGAACAAACTTTGGGAAAAATTTTAACTCGTTACTGACAATGTCAATGGTTTGTTTAAAACTGGAAGAAATTATGAAGAATAAACGTCCTTCACTACTGAATCAAATTGAAATAGTAACATTCAGTTGACAAATTTGATGGCTGTTATATCAATTTAAATTCCCACAAACGAAAAGCAAAATGACTTCATTTAAAAAATAGTAAAATTACGTGTAAGTAAGCCAAAAATATTGCTATCCCCTACCCCCAGCGCAAGGTTGTGATGGGTACGTCACTCCCACAATGCAACAGTTAGCCCTGAAGAATCTGGGTGCACCCCGCATATCTCGGATGGACTATAAATACAAGGTGAGATTCTACGTGAAGTAGAAGAAGCGCTTCTGGGGCGCTTCAATCGGCGAAGGACGAAGGAACTAAAGTTCTATCGCTTAAATCCTTCGTGAAAAACGTGGGAGAAGGTGACAAGTTGCTGAACCAAAACAAACGAATTTAACGAGTTCACGGAACTCCTACCGTCGCTGAGGAATTGAGGTCGTTCTAAGAGAGAGAATCTTTTGCAAGAAAGTGAAAACGTTTCAGCAATTACCTCATCACTTCGGCCATCTTGTTGAAGCAAAGAGATGGCTTTCGCGTCTGGGTCACCAGCTCCCTTACGGGACGTGAAACTGGTGCAGTTTGGTGTACTGAGTCCAGATGAAATAGTGAGTAAACTTTCAATAAATTTCAATCAAGTTAAAACCGTATTTAAAAGTTTTCTTGTTCCGACACGTCCTTCGTCGATACTCACGAAAGGTCAAATGCAAGGGTTCTTGCGCGTGTTTTACCTACGAAAAGTGATGTTTCATGTCGACTTTGTTACGTGTTGTAGTTCTGATTACTTATATTTTATATTTAAACAGAAACAAATGTCAGTTACAACCGAAGGCGGCGTGAAATACTCCGAAACGATGGAGGGAGGAAAGCCGAAGCTAGGTGGTTTAATGGATCCTCGACAGGGAACAATCGACCGTTTCTCTCGTTGCCAAACTTGCGCCGGAAACATGACTGAATGTCCCGGTCACTTCGGACACATAGAGCTGGCAAAACCGGTGTTTCACGTCGGCTTCTACAAGATGATAATCAAATGTTTGAGATGCGTTTGCTTCTATTGCTCAAAACTCCTTGTCGACGGGGTAAGAAAGGCAATCTTGCTTCGTCTGCAATCATGGCCGGCCGCTCGGCTGAAGGAATGGGGCGAGGGTATCTCCCCAGCCGTGGTAGTGTGGCTAGAAATAGCTCGATATATGGAATATTGATTTTCTCATAAATCTTTTTTCTAATTTATCTTGTTCAGAATAGTTTTTTTTACTTGAATCTGGGATTGATTTAATTCTTTTTACTCAAAGGTGTCCATTTGATTATCTAAAATTATTTAACTTTTGTTGAAAAGGAAAAATAGATCTGTTTTCATATATCCAGGAAACACTTCAGGTTGAGATCAGAACTGTTGCATTAAAGGAAAAATTTAAGTTTTTGTTACAATTTCTCATTAATGGCTGACTTTTTATGGTAGAAAGAAAGTAAATGAAAATTTTTATAAAAAATTCATGAAAATCTGCTGATGGTGGTAATGCTATTGTTACTTAGAACAATCCTAAAGTGAAAGAAATTGTATCAAAGTCTCGTGATCAACCAAGTAAGCGTCTACAACACATCTATGACTTGTGCAAAGGGAAAAAAATCTGTGAAGGTGGTGATGTTGTTGATGATAAACAACAGTCTGTAGACTTGGATGAGGCAGAGAAAAAGATGGTAAGTTTATCTTTTATTTTTACTCTGATATGCTGTCTCAATTGTTTTGGAATTTTAACCTAGTTTGTGTTAAACTATGTTTCAAGGTATCAGATTGTAATTTTTTTATTAGGTAAGCTCATGTTAGAGTATGATACATGTTAATACATATTCAGCAAAAATTTAATACAGAGGACGATATCAGTAAGATTTGGTTGGCTTGAGTTATAAGGAAGTATAAAGCAGCTGCATATATAAAGAGAATTGCAAGTCAGTTCTTGTGAGTAAGAGGTTAACATGTCACATTCTTTTACCAATTTCATTTTGATAGAGTCATGGTGGATGTGGTAGAAACCAGCCACAGATCAGAAGAAGTGGTCTTGATCTTACTGCAGAATGGAAAGAGGTGAATGAAGACTCACAGGAGAAAAAGATTCCACTCACAGCAGAGCGTGTGCATGAAATATTTAAAAGAATTTCTGATGAGGAATGCGAGATTCTGGGAATGAACCCCAAGTTTGCACGTCCTGATTGGTTGATTGTGACCGTTCTTCCAGTTCCACCTTTGGCTGTAAGACCTTCCATTGTTATGAGTGGTTCTGCTCGTAGTCAGGTAATGTGTTTTGATATTAGGTCAACCTCAGTTTGATCCTGTAAGATCTTTTGTGCAGAAAAAAAAAAAATGCAGAGAAAGTAAAAATTGTTTAATAATATTGAGGTTTTTGATATTATTGCAATAACCAGCTGCTTTTCCCTAGCTTCCTACATTGTGCCTTCTTTGATTTTGTGTTGTTAATGTAATTGATAAGTTTTTGGTTGTCTACCTTCTTCCAGGATGACTTAACCCACAAGCTGTCAGATGTTGTGAAGGCAAATGGTAATCTTCGGAGAAATGAACTTAATGGTGCTGCAGCGCACATCATTGCAGAAGACACTAAAATGCTCCAGTATCATGTGGCAACACTTATAGACAATGAAATCCCTGGTCTGCCTAGGGTAAGATAGCACATTTTTCGTAGATAAGGAAATTTTTCAATTTTATCATAGTTTGGCTTGTATTTGCCACAACAAGCCCTCCCTCTTGTGTGGTACATTGAATTACAAAGCACTATAGTTGGAACTATAGTGCTAATCAGAACTTTACACTGTCTCATTGAAGGCCATGCAAAAGTCTGGACGTCCATTGAAATCAGTGAAACAGAGACTGAAGAGTAAAGAAGGCCGTATCAGAGGAAATTTGATGGGAAAAAGAGTTGACTTTTCAGCTCGTGCTGTCATTACTCCAGACCCAAACTTGTCCATTGATCAGGTTGGCGTTCCACGTACCATTGCTCAGAATCTTAGTTTCCCTGAGATTGTCACACCATTCAACATTGACAGGTTAGTATTTAAAATAAGTTCAGCCCATTCTATGTGTAATAAGACGGAATTCCATCATAAACATGGGAATGTCAGACAATGAAATTTTAGCGCTATTAGGGCAAGAGTGATGCAAACCAAAGTCAGTAAGCCTTTTCTAACATGTATTTTCCTGTATCGTCATGTACTGTATCATCCTCAAAGTATTTAATTTTTCATAAAGGAGATGTTTTGGTATTTCAAGTTCACACTTGTTGTCTTTTTTGTAGCATGCAAGAACTTGTGCGCCGAGGAAACAACCAATATCCAGGTGCTAAGTACATCATCAGAGACAATGGAGAGCGTATTGATCTCAGGTTCCACCCCAAACCAAGTGATCTCCATCTTCAGTTTGGTTACAAGGTAGGTTTGAGCAGTCTTTGTTATACACCATTATCTTTCAATATTTGTGTGTGAAATATAACAATTATATGATTGCCTCTAGACAGGGTTTCATTTCAGGTACTTTTTTAATTTAAATGAAACTCTGACAGTTGTTAGACTTTGACATCCAACATGGCCAGCCGAAGACTTGTTGTAATGAAGATAAATTTTTCCAGACATAGAAGCTTATTATTTTATTTGAAATTTAAGGTGGAAAGACACATCAGAGATGATGATGTGATCATTTTCAATCGACAACCCACTCTTCACAAAATGTCTATGATGGGACACAGAGTTAAAATCCTGCCTTGGTCAACATTCAGACTTAATCTCAGGTGATAACTAGTATTCAGGAAATATTGCTGATCATAAGTCTCTCTCAATGGGGCAATGTTTATGTGTTTGTTTTTAAGTGTCAAGAAATATTTTTGCATTGTTGTGCAAAAATGTATTGTAATTTCAATGTCTATCATCCCCAAAGAACCTAATTTTGTGCAGCCAGTTGATAGGTGTTACTAGTCATAATCCTTAGACTTCCCTAACCTTTGTTGCTGAGTTTGCTCAATAGTATTTGATTAAACACAGTTAAAAATGCTAGCATAAGTTACAAAAGAGAATGATATAAATAGCTTGTGGTTGCTGATAAGATCTCTCTGCCCTTATATATCAGTGTTACCACACCATATAATGCTGACTTTGATGGTGATGAGATGAACTTACATGTACCTCAGTCCCTCGAGGCACGTGCTGAAATCACTGAGATCATGATGGTGCCAAGGAACATTGTTACACCACAATCCAATAAACCTGTCATGGGAATAGTGCAGGATTCTTTGATGGCTGTCAGAAGATTCACCAAAAGAGATGTTTTTCTGGAAAAGGTTTGTCTCTTAAACATACTGATGCATGGCATCATGGTAGAGCCATTGTTGGGCTCTAGATATTATGTAAGTTAGAAGATTGTTCTCCTCGTAAGTTTATGAAAAATGGTGACACACTTCCTTAGATCCATTCCTGGGGCAAAACAATGACATTCTTCTGCATTGTTTACAGGCTTGCCCTGTAACACTGCTTAAGTGTGTTGGCAGTTGCCCAACAGCGCTAAGCTGCAGATTGGGAATGCTTGAGTCATGAGTGTGTGAGATCAATATACCTCTCTGTGGTGCATCTTTGCCTTCTGATTGTCAGCCTAGATGCCATAGTGCAGCTAGTCTTTGATCCTTATGTCAGTTGGATAGCATTGCAAGGGACAATTTTCTGACATCTACAAGATTTTCTGTTATCGTCGCAAGTTTGTTTAGAAGAAAATTAAGTCTTACCTCTTCAATGTTACCTAAGCATTTTTGTCTATTATCAGTAAAGAGGCATAGTATTGAAACAATTAAAGGCAAGTTGCCCTCAATTTCAACTCACTTATTGTATACATTTGGATGAGATGGATTTACTAAAATTAATAATTCTTTCATACCTTACTTATAACTCTGATCTTTGATGGGAGGAAGAAAAGGCTTCAAATATCAGAGGGTCAAATTAGTGAGGGTAAATTGTTCAGTAAAAGACAAAAAAAATCACTTCCAGCTTTGGGAAAGTTTGAGTTGCTAGGGATTCAGCTGAAATATGTAACTTTGCACCTAGTTTAGAGAGCTTCAATTCACATTTGTAACCTGTTTCATTTCTGAAATTGAGGAACCTTTTTTTTATTTTTTTATTTTCAGGATGCCATGATGAACCTCATGATGTGGATCCCTGATTGGGATGGTAAGCTGATACAGCCTGCCATTCTCAAGCCTCAGCCATTATGGACAGGGAAACAGATCTTCAGTATGATTATTCCAGGAAATGTCAATATGATCCGTACACACAGTACCCACCCAGATGATGAAGATAGTGGACCATATAAACATATTTCACCTGGAGACACTAAGGTATGTTACTCATCTTCACAAACATTTGGAATATTTACACTGTCCTGTGTCCTGCAGTTGCATATGAATCTTTTTCATAATTTTAAATCAAATATAAAAATCATGCACTTGTTTATTTCTACTCAGTATGATAACAACTGTTCCAGTTATTTTTACATCAGATCAACAGTTAGCAATAATACATGGAGCTCAAAAGTGAACTAAGTACGGCCCATTTTTTTTTTTGTTTGGGCTCAAACATGTGTAGCAAAGTTAAAGAATTTGGTATACAGATCAAGTTTGTTGTAGTCCAGGTGGTTTGAGGCAAATTTAGCTTGAACTGTGATTCTTTGGGTGTTGTTAAGAGGGAGTTAAAAGAGGTTACTATTTACTAGGGTTAAGATTGTTTGATATATCCTCTTTGTAGGTTCTCATTGAGCATGGTGAGCTTATCTCTGGCATCTTATGCAAAAAATCCCTTGGAACTTCGTCAGGAAGTTTGGTCCATATTGTGGCAGTAGAATTGGGGCATGAGGTGGCGCGCATGTTTTATGGGAACATCCAGACTGTTGTGAACAACTGGACTTTGATTGAAGGACACAGTATTGGTATTGGTGATTGCATTGCTGATAATGAAACTTATGATGAAATTCAGCGATTGACAAAGAAAGCCAAGGTAACTAAATGTGGATCAGTATGTGCTTCCATGGTTAATAACTGTTAAATTTCTTTGTGAGCTTTATGGTAAATTTTAAATGAAATTGTTTGAACTATGAACATTTGAATGTGGTGCGTTTAAAGACACTTCAAATCCAAATTCTTAGAATTACCTTGACTTGTGGATAACAAAGTTTTCACATATGTTGGAATTCTTCAGGCGGAGGTGATTGAGGTGATTGAGAAAGCTCACAATGATGATCTTGAGCCCACGCCAGGTAACACACTGCGGCAGACTTTTGAGAATCAAGTGAACCGTATCCTCAATGACTGTCGTGACAAAACTGGAGGAAGTGCTCAGAAGAGCTTGTCAGAATACAACAATTTCAAGGCTATGGTGGTGTCTGGTTCCAAAGGCTCCAAGATCAACATTTCACAGGTCAGTAAATTTGAACAGCCCTTTAACCACTAATAGTATCTAGCATCTGATTTCCGCTTACAATATCACCCCCACATCACACTTTAAGGTTCTGAGAATAAAATAAATGTTTGCAAACTTAAGAAAGTCTTGTTTGTTGGATGAATTCACCTTGTAAGTACCTGAGGAAATATGTAGAGAACAGTTTGAAGAATAAGCATACTGATGTTAGGGTGTAGTAACAAAGGATGACTGTAATTTCTTCAATGCTGAGGAGGTCACCATGACATCTTAGCCACAACCACAACTTAACTGTTCACAATTTTTCATGTTTAGGTTATTGCTGTGGTGGGTCAGCAGAACGTTGAAGGTAAACGGATTCCATTTGGATTCCGCCATCGGACACTCCCACACTTCATTAAAGATGATTATGGTCCAGAGAGTAGAGGGTTTGTGGAAAATTCGTACCTTGCTGGCCTTACTCCAACAGAATTCTACTTCCATGCCATGGGAGGCCGTGAGGGATTGATTGATACTGCTGTTAAAACTAGTGAAACTGGTAATAATATATTATGTACAATATCTGTTGATTTAAGCAGTCGATTTTCATCATAGATTTGAATGGTATTTGAATTCCTTTTTCAGGTTACATTCAGAGGCGTTTGATCAAAGCCATGGAAGGGCTAATGGTTGCGTATGACGGAACAATCAGAAACTCTAACAATCAGATGATCCAGTTGAGGTATGGTGAGGATGGAATGGATGGTGCAGCAATCGAGTTCCAGAATATGCCAACCATAAAACCAACCAATTCAGCTTTTGAGAAAAAGTTTCACTTTGATTGCTCCAATGAAAGGTGAGTAGTACTGAGTCACCCTTAAAACAATATGTACCAAGCACAAAACACAGTCACCTTTTTAGTTGTGAGAACTCTCACTCCCGCATATTTTTTGACTATGTGCTGAAATGATTAAGTCCTGGGAAGGTTACAATGTATGCTATAAGATTAAGAGCCATATTAAAGTGGCTCTGAAACAAACACAAATTTTGTTGTAGCATTGAATCACCTGTGCATGAGTGAGGAAGATGTTATTAAGAGCTTTCTTAAGAAATGACTTGGAAGGGTCGAAATCAGTTGAATTTTAGTTACATAATGATTCATTGTATTCTCATTTTCTTTATCAGGCGTCTGCGCCGTCTTCTACAGGAAGATGTAGTGCGAGATCTTTGCAGCAGTAACACAGCTCTTCAGGATCTTGAGTCAGAGTTCAATCAATTACAAGAGGATCGAGAAATTCTTCGTAGAATTATTCCCTCAGGAAACTCCAAGGTGCATGAAGGCATCCAACTGATGTCTTGTAATCTTTTATTATGAATTATGTTTTGAAAGGATAAAATTTTAATTGATAGGGCTGATTTTTTTGTTTTATTTTATTTTAGGTGGCTTTACCAGTAAATCTCGGTCGTTTGATCTGGAATGCACAGAAGACCTTTCATCTTACCAATAGAAATCCGAGTGATTTGCACCCTCTCAGAGTCGTTGAAGGTATAGGGATAATTATCATGATTTTAACAAATAACTACTGTTTATTGACGGAACTGTACTAAGGTGGTAAAAATTCAAGAAGTGTCATTTGACATTTTTCTCAACCAAGTAATGAAGTTGTCTTGTAGTTTTTAGTGATGTTCTTCATTTTGGTTCATAAGGTGTGCGTGAGTTGTCCAAGAAATTAATAATTGTTCATGGCGAGGATCACATCAGTAAACAAGCACAGTTTAACGCCACTCTGTTATTCAACATTCTCCTTCGTTCCACTCTGTGTACCAAGCGAGTGGCTGAGGAGTTTCACTTGTCATCAGAGGCTTTTGAGTGGTTACTGGGAGAAATTGAAACTCGCTTCAACCTGTCCATGGTGAGATAATCGTTCTGTTCGTTCGTTTTGACTTTGCTGCCATTTGATAATTTTCCGCGAGGCTTATGCTCTTGTACAACAATACAGCGGTTGATTAATGCATCATCCGATTAATACAATATCCACTTCAGTTCTCTTTGAAAACAAACAAATGTAAACGTGTGTCTTTGGGAGAAGTCATAGCTGTGTATTGTTTTGAGAGTGCCTTGTCCTCTATGATCTTAGCATAACACAGTTGTCATGCAACTCGTCATTGCTCCTAAAATGCGTGTTGCCTTGTGCTTTTTTTTTTAGGTTAAACCTGGTGAAATGGTTGGTGCTTTGGCCGCTCAGTCTCTCGGTGAACCTGCTACGCAGATGACCCTCAACACGTTTCACTATGCCGGTGTATCTGCCAAGAACGTAACCCTTGGTGTTCCTCGGCTCAAAGAAATCATCAACGTGTCCAAGAAACCTAAAACTCCATCCCTGACGGTGTTCCTCACGGGACAACCTGCCAGAGATGCTGAAAAGGCAAAGGTATCAAGAGTTCTTTTCTTTCAGTCAAGTTTTAACGGCATAAAAAATTGATTACAGTTATTTGTATTTACTTGGAAAATTAACACTTCTACCCTTGAACCAGGACTAACTTGTATTCCTTTGTATTTCACAGGACGTGTTATGCCGTTTGGAGCACACAACGTTACGTAAAGTCACAGCCAACACAGCAATTTATTACGACCCAGACCCTCAGAACACAGTAGTAACAGAAGACCAGGACTTTGTGAATGTTTACTATGAAATGCCTGACTTTGACGTGACTCGGATCTCACCATGGCTTTTGCGTATTGAACTCGATCGTAAACGTATGACGGACAAGAAGCTCACCATGGAACAGATCTCTGAGAAGATAAATCTTGGTTTTGGTGATGATCTGAACTGCATTTTTAACGATGACAACGCAGAGAAACTTGTCTTGCGTATTAGGATCATGAACAACGACGATGGAAAGTTCCAAGACGTAAGTTATTTGAAAATAGCTCGCATTACAATGTTTGAAGTGAATTTTGTGCGATGCTCGAAGATACGCTCGCATCTACAAAACCAAGCTTTCGTTGACAAATTTTTTCTTGACGAGCTTCCCTTTGCCAGTGCCGCGCAACCTTGTTCCCAGGGTCTTCTGAGGAAGAGAGAGTGCCTTGAGAACGAGTTTTAGGGATAGTGACTCGACAAGGACCGAGGAAAGGAAAACTATACTGCTGTAAGTTTTCTGTGGCAGGTGTCATCTTGTGAGCTTGTTTGTAGCGGGCAAGTTGCCCTTGTCAAATAAAAGCTGTTGGGTTGATGTGGCTGAGAAGTATGCTTGAAGAAAGAAAAACAACA